CAATACCCATGTTTTGAAAACCAGACCGGACCGGACCGGCCGGTCCAACCGGTTCAACCGTGAACAGGTCTGATGGCCAGTCCAGTTCACCCGTAAAAACCGGGTGTGCATCAAACCGGCCAAAACCGGTTTGAACCGCCGGTTCAACCGGGAACCGGCGAACTAGTCCCAGTTTTCTAAAACCGTCCGATCCAAATATTTTTTTAATTAATTAAATAAATTATTCAATATTAAATAAATGATAAGACCATTTATTGTGGGTTTTTATATAATTTATATTTATAGTTTATGTCTAAATATGTAATATAAATTAACAATAATTTATATTAAAGTATATGGTTATTATATTTCATTATTATGTTAATTTTGTTATTTTGTTTATAATAATATTATTATTTATTATGTCATCTGATTCGACCCCGGTTCGACCTGTCGAACCATGAACCTCTCCTTCGTCCGGTTCGTTGTCCAGTCTGGTTTTCACAACCTTGCCCAATACCTCAAATGCCTCCAACCACCCATTTTCAAACCAACAAACTACTTCCCAACAGCAATCATCCATCTTGAAATTCTTCACACCTACGCTACTGCAAATCTTCAATGAATTATATGATCAAATTGACGAACGCATTGTTAAGCATCAATCGGAGGAAGCTTCCTTTAGTCCAATGTGGGAGCGCTTAACATGCTTAGGATTACGTCAAATTTCACTTAGTTATAATTTCCTCTAACCACACACTTAGCTTCCTAAATGAGTAATGTGTGATATAATGTGCAGAACAATTAAACTCCGTGAATGTTTCCTTGTCATTAGGGATTGGGTGACCCACATGACTGTGGTGACCTCGCTAGAAGGTATCATAAAAGCACACATTGGCAGGTTAGGCGTGTTGTATGCACACACTATTGAAAATATCACTTCACTTTGTCATAATGGACGATGTCCATTATCAAATTGAATATGATTGCCATCTATCACCTTAAATCGTTAGAATTGGTGATGTGCACCATCAGATGGACTCTAGTAAACATTAACATCTTGCACATTAGTGATGTTAATCATCAGGTGGATTTTGAGTTGACAATCATTGATTATCGATCATCTTGCATGAAAAGATATGCGGCCATATCAAGTTATCAACATATAATACCCCAATGATCATGATTTACTCTCATCACCTTGCATACAAAGATAGGCACCACCATTATATGATTGCATTGAGCTTGATAATTGGTTTAATTCCAACAATTATAGACTTTACATTAGCCATGTCAACATGGACCAAGGGTCATGCTTTTAGCTTGATTTGACCAAGCTTTACCGAACATGCCCCATTCAAACGTTTTCACAAATGAGCATATATGAGTCATGCAATATAGAAAGGGCCTATCTTAACAATATCTATGATATATAATTATAGGATTCATTGTATTAAAAAATCTACAAAATTATTTTTATCATTACAAAAATGAAATAGCAATAGTGACTCCCTTTTGTTCTATGTCCCATTATATTTCAAGTGATAAATAGCAAGGTTTAAAATTGCGTAAATAAGCCTCGAGGCAGTTTTCGTCCGTGAGGCGAGGCGTAAGCATCGAGGCGGTGTGAGGCGTAAGCCTCACTAACGCAGAATTGCGTAAATGAGAATTTAAGGATTGTAGAAGGTTAATAATAGCAAGTCTCTATCATACAATAAAAACATCTAAATGTCATGAGAAATTAGTGGAAAATAAGAAAATAGATGCAATAAAATCATGTCCCAAAGTACAAAATCACAAAATGTTGGTCTATCAAAACTCCCAAAGTACAATTAAAAAAGAACATATAAAATCCAATCATATCCCATCACTAAATAGGTCTTCAAGGGAATCTTCTTCTCCAATTGTATTTATGAATGTCATATCTTCATCATCTTCAATGAGACTCACTTTTCTCTTCCCCGTTCAATAAGAATGATCATTATCATATTAATTGCTCACTTGATAATAATATAATGCAATAACATATCTCATCTGAAGCTTCAACTGATCGTAAAAACACCGTGCCGTAGGGATTATTGACAAGGATGTTAATCAAGCTCCTGCTCTTCATGTCATACCATCCATCTGACATAATGGTAACACCAGTCTCAATCCATGTCTGTTTAACCTCAGCAATGCTCTGCTTTGTATTTTGCAGCTCCTTCAAAATCCATGTTTGCAACTCGTACATGGAAGGTTCCTTCAACTCTCTCCCATACAACCCTACAGACCGCAGCATATTGAAGTAGGCAGGCAATATCGCAACATTAAATGGTATAGCATTCTAAAAAAAAATCTGCCAATATCCATGCAAACCTAGCATCGACCCTCTCTGATACCAGCAGCAAGCATCATTTGTGCTTGTCCTCTATCCTCTCATGGATTAGTCATATACTGGTCCATCGGACCCCGTGCACCTCTATTATGTATAGTGGAGGAAGAGCCCTTTCCACTCCCGCTCTCGAAGTAAGCACCATGTTCGACCCTTTCATCAAATTGCTCATGTTGTAAGTGTTTTGCCGTGGTACTTTTTTTTCATGTAAGCAATAATCTCATCCTTCACCTTGTCCGGCACATTTGCACACGGTGCTACGTTTTTATGATAGCATGATAAGTGTTCCTTCATACGGGTTACTCTTCCCTTCACCACTTTCTCGCAAAAATTGCATTTCAAATACACACAAGTCTTCTCATCGCCGCCTATGTCAACTTGTACACTATATTTCCAAGAAGGGTCCCTCCACAATGACGTATTAGACTTTTTCTTGCCCTTAACCATATTTTCTAAAGGAAAAAAGCAAATTAAAACAAAAACACTAAAAAAATTGAAACCCTAGCTTTCCTATAAGTTGAAAAATCATACTCTAAACTTCAAAAAAAACTCTAATAACTAATCAAGAAAGGATGTAGAGGGGCGGCCGGAAATAAAGGGCTCACCAGCGAGCGGCGGCGCCGGCAGGAGAAGCGCCGGAGACTTGCGGGGCCTGGAGTTTTTTGCGGGATCGAGAACAGCATGTCACAGGATCGGGATGCTTGCGGGATCGGCTTGGACCGGTAGAAGGGAGAGGGATTTTCTTATTTACTTAAAGTGAGTGGGACCCAATATTTGAGGCGCAAGCGTCAAGCAAAATTGCGCAATAGAGGCGCGCCTCAAACTGCTTGAGGCGTACGCCTCAGCCAAAGCCAAAATTGCTTAGGCCTCAAGGCGTTTTGGGTCCAAATTATGCAGAGGCGTGCCTCTTATTGCGCAATTTTAAACTATGATAAATAGAGGTGAGTGGTCCTATTCATATGGAAAAAAATGCATGATCTTTAAGGTTGGTAATTTAGACATTTAGAAAGGGGCTAATCAACGGACTATGTTTGCCTTGTCAGTCAATGATCGCCGTCTTAAGAGATAGTGGCTCATTTTGTGTTATAGGCTCTTCTGTGCCAAAAATGCTTCAAGGTTTGCGATAGTTAATGTTGCTTATTGAGCACTTCTTAAATCTAACAAAACCAATTTCATTCTATTTTATTTGATGGTGGCAACTCAATCAATATGTAAAGCAAAGGAGGCCAATATTTGGTCCAATTTGAACCAAACTAGAACATAATTGTATCTTAGTTCTAAGTACAATGTGTGCTTATATTGGATATATTAGGGTCTTAAGTTTGCAATGCAAATCTAACATGAAATATGGAAACAATGCAGCAAACACACAAATTTTTAATGACATAGGTTAGTGATCTTAAACAATTATGTATTAAACTATTAACTTAATTGAATAGAAAATTTTTACAAGTCCAATTTCGACCAAGTGTTTATAGCTTTCTATTAGAAATTAACAAGCAGGGAATTAAAGGTTACATAAGCCACACACATGACAAAAAATTCACACAACCAAGCAAAACTCAACATGTAGAAAAAAAAATTTAAACATAATCTCAATTTTAACTAATAAACAAAAACATAAAAGGTGGGTTGAAAATCAAGAAAAAGCAAGCTTCATACTTGTACAAGTAGATAACAACTCCTACAATTTCAAGTCTCAAACTTCGTTGAGAATTTGAATCCTAGAAGGAGAAGATTACTCATCCAAAGTGAAATTTCACTTGATTTTTACCATTCACTTGACATGGTAAATCCCAATTATGATCACAAAACAAATCTTAGGAAGCTGCCCATACAAAAGAATGAAAAGACTTTAAAAAAAAATGAAAAAAGAGCCAAGCTAAACACAAGATCACTCATTGCTACGGTCCAAAGAACCTAAAAAAGAAGGGATTCATACCTACTACAATCCCGAAAGTTGAAGCCACCTAGGAACTTACATCTCAGCAATCAACTGACAGAATGTTGATTCCGCCACAATGCCGAGGAATTGTAGGATTTGTTGGAAGAGCCAGCATTAAGTATCTATTCAGAATTGGTTTGAAAATTTTGAATACAACAAATTGATTAAATCATATTATTCTAAGAGATATGGTCAAATTTTGTCAAACTCCTATAAGGATATCAATGAAACATAACATGTAAGCCATTACCTCTACTTTCTAAAATATCTTAAGCGTCCACTATCAGAAGCTTGTTTCAATTAATTTCTTAAACGGTCCCTGAAAGAAACCTTTATAAATTTTAAAGTCGCATTCACAGACATAAAAGGAATCAGCGTTATGTATTGTGATGATTCAGAACATACCATAATTTCGACTCCATATAATGGATTCAAATCAACCCTGCAATCCATTATTATGCTCTGGAGGCAAAATCAAAAGATATAAAAGGGTTTCATATCCTCCTTTCCCCAAAAAGCACCAAACAACACCATCAAATATTCCGCATGCTACAAAATTTAAATGTAAATAAAGGAAAGAACATCGAAGACGCAATCAGCAGATTATAATCATGTAAAACCTAAGCACTGGATCGCATAGATAACCGGAAGTCAAAAAAAAGTGGAAAGAAAATTAAAAAAAAAAAAACGGAGAAGCCTTACTGGGCTTCTCGGGCTTTCCGCTGACCCACTTGGTGACGGCGAAGTGAACCTTCTCCCTGGAAGCCGCCTCGGACTTGTAGGGCTCCTTGAGGCAGCCCCGGACCAGCGAGGCGCAGATGTTGGAGTAGGTTATATACGTCATTCCAGCAGCCCTCCAAAACGGTACCGCCGCGCTTGAGCTCCCCGCCGCCGTTGCCATGGTTTCGTTTCTCTCGCTCTCTGTTTCTCCCCTTTTCTCTGATTTTGGCGTCCTGCTTCTGATAGACTGATAGTAGATGGTACATATGGATCAGATGAGACGGGTTGAAAACGGGTTGAGAAACCTGCCTAGTACTGCAGCAAGGAATATCTTGGGCATCCTTATTTATTTATTTTGTTCAATTCGAATATAAGCTTTAATTTAACCAAATTAATAATTATTAGCTTAATATTACTTCATTAATCATATAATTTTATTATTAAATATAAATAGTAATCAAAACTGATATAATTCATTAATAAAATTATTGCATGTCGAAACATTCAAAATGATAAAAGATACCAATTTTGATATCTTAGCTTTGCACAAAGATCCAACACATATAAAGATAAATAGATGTGCATAGCATTCGTAAGAGACACTAAAATTTTTATGTAAAAATCTAAGAAAAGAAAAAACCACATGTTTTAGCACCTAATTAAAATGATTTCACAAGTATTTTTATTTAGTTATAAGTGAAGCACTTCCCCAGGGGAAGGTATTGATAAAATACATGTTACTTTATTAAATCTAAAAGGGCCATTTAGTTGGAACCCATCATAAATTCAATTGTTAAAGTTAGGAGTTGTAATTGATATCAATGACATGCATCAATTTTATAAGTTTGGAGTTAACATTATCAGAGATAGCATGTGATGAAGTCAATAAACGTCGAAATAGGTTCGTGATAATAATCAAAAGATTGTAGGTGGATCATAGTTGAAAGATTGTGGCTAGAGGATCATAATTGGGTGACGAAGATCAGAGAACCATAGTCAAATAATAGTAGTATGAAGGATTGTAGTTCATGGTGATGGAGGACTATAGTCGACATGAGACAGATGTTTTGAGGATCATAGTTGGATGACAACAGTTGAGAGTTGTAATTAGGTGACAGTGGTCCGAGGATATTATTTAAGTGATGGTGGTATAAGAATCATTATGAGGCAATGGTGATTAAAAAATCTTTGATAGACAATAGTGGTATGAGGATCATAGTTTGTTGATAGTGGTCTAAGGATTGAAGTCGAAGGGCAATGGAAGTCGGTGGGCAATAGAGGTTAAAAGGATTGTAGCTCGGCAATAGTACTGATAAGACCATAGTTTGCAGACAATGAAAGCATAGCTCGAAAGGATTGTAGCAAAAGGATGAAAGTGGTTAGAAGGACTATAGTTTGCGGACAACAAAAGCAGAGGTCAAAAGGATTGTAGCAAAAGGGTGACAATGGTTAGAAGGACCACAATTAGGTAATTGTAGCTTGAGGACCATAGACCATAGTCGAATGGAGGTCGGAAGACCTTAGTCAACGGGTGATGATAGTTGGAATGACTATAATTAGTCAGCATGTGATAGAAGTTGGAAGGACTGTAGTTTGATAATGATAGTATGAGGACCATATTAGGGTAATTGTGCTCCAAATATCATAATTGGGTGGCAGAGGTCAGAATATCATAACCGGGCGATAGTTGTTTCGAGGATATAGTCAAGGAACAGTGGTCTGATGATCGAAGTCAAAGGGAGACAAAGGTTAGAGGGCTAAAGTA